CATGGGGTCATGAAGAGTCGGACACGACTTAACGACTGAACAACAACAAATCCACTTAAATGGTTACATGTCATTTATCTATGGTGGTGTATAGAATCACAGAATATAAACCAGGATGGATTGAAGCAGACAGGAAAATGAGGATTATGCACGATCACTGAAGAGTTTCATTCCTAAACAAAACAGATAATGTTAAGCAAATGCAGGTTTGCTGAATTCTCAGCTTTTTGCTTGAAAAGAACTAGTCTTTCCCAGTTGATTATAAACTAGGAAAATTGTTGAAGCAACTGAAAATTATAGCCCTTTTACACATGCACACAGAAAATGTACCACTGATTTCTTTTTGTTTCCATATATTCTCATAGTTCAAGAGATTATGAAAGCCATATAACATGATATAAGCTTGTGTTGTTAGCTGTTGAGTGTCCCAGAATCATCAAATGATACAGCAGACAATGATCAGCTGGACAATTTTTCCCTTATCCAGTTCCTTGGCAGAATCCATCCTGTTGAGTATTGCTTCATCCTGTTGGTCCCAATTCAGGTACTAGAGAGATACAGTGGATTCATGCAGTCCCTAACACCAGAGGCAAAGAAGAGCAATTTGAGGATATCTGGTATGAAGTGGCATTATCCTAGTTTGACTTTTATTTGGATCTAGATCTCCACAAATTTCTGATCCCACTTAGAGCTCTGCTGCTTCAAGGCACAATGATAGTGCTATGAAGGAAAATGCTTTTCTTGGATATTAAGGAATACAGTAAAGGGGAATGATCTCCTTCAAGGGTTTTGTATTATTCTGCAAGGTACTGCAGCCCTTTTAATTTATTCTGCCATGCCTAGCACTGATTGTCCTTTTCATGTCAATACTGTAACTATTTACTTCACAGTCACTTAAATCCTAAAATCCTGTGGTGCTTAGAGAAGCCTGCAGTGTAATCCAGAATTATCCCAGAATTCCCTGCAGGGATTAGATATCTATGGAGTCCTCCATTAGAAGCTGTGATTGC